CGTATGCGCAACGAATCAACTCGGGCAACGCGCATACGCACAGTGGCACCGGCGGCAATGGAGCAGGGTGGAGAAGCAATCTGTATAGAAAGGGAAATGAGAGTTTAATCACAAAAGTTGTTATGAGCTAATAATGCTTAGTGCCACATGTCAGCAATTTGACAACTTCTAGCATCCAATTTAGTTCAGAAAGAACTTAACAGCATTCATAGAGTTCATCTGCGCTGCACAGGGGAACCCAAAGATCTTTAGTTCTCAAAAGTATCTTTAAAACACGCAAATGGCTTGTGAACATTTCCAAATTTGTAACTTGTTTAGAATGATACATTAAAATATAAACTAATGTGCTGATGTATTTTTAATTTAGTTTTATATTTTCATTGATAAATCATTTGATGCTCATTTGAGCATTTTATGATAATTTCCAAATTCCTTAGAATGTATGAGCACAATTGTTTAGATGTAATTTAGGTCTTACATCAAATCTCCTCCAATCAAATCCCCCTCTCGTTACTCATCCAAGCGATAAACGATGTAGAATTCCTGAGTGCAAGCGGAACATTGCCTTTCCCAGATCAAATGGAAGTGAAAATTCCGAGTGCATGTAGCACGCCCCCGCCATTACGCCGCCCCCGCATTTTCCGCAGATGTGGCAGCCCTCGGCTAACTGTACACACATTTGTCGCATCGCAGCGGCGGCAACAACGAGTTAGAGCATAACAGCATATTTTACAATTACGAAACAATTCGGCCCACAACTAAATACAGAAACCCCAGGCACTCGCGGCTCTTCAGCCAAGCAGACTGAACAATGGACGAAATAGAAAAACTGTGAAAAATAGAAAAATCTGAAATCTGAAATCCGAAATCCCAAACCCGAAGCCAAGCTCAACGAGATCAGCAGACGAATAGGCGTAGACGGCAGACCTAGAACCATGTCTCCAAAATGCGGCCTACTGGGGCGGCATGCCAGCAGCACTCACACACTCGCAAGCTCGATTGTGGCCAGAACGAAACCAGATCAAAAGCCCATGGCAATAATTATGAAAACACTCCGAGTCGCGACGTCGTCATCGTCATCGATGTAATTTTCCTGTTCGTGCCTTAATAATCTGCGCAAACGGCGGCCGCATATTGAAATTCCCCACAGTAATAATAACAATAATCGCGCGGCAGCAACATCTATTAAAATATCGATGGAGTGACTGACTGACTGACTGACTGACTCTGTGACTCCCTGACTGACTTTGCCGGCTCTGACTTTTGTTTTTCTGTACTTTTTTCCATTTTCTTGGTTTTTTGGCTGGCTGGTGAAGCGATCAAAAGTCGCTAAAAGCAAACGCACACTGACGGCGTTATTATTGATTTAAACATCAAGATAAATTACACCGGCTCCCCCAAACCGAACCACCCGCGCTTGAAAATCTCCCTCGAGTGGAAATCTTTAGGAACCCTAGCTGAAGATCAGACTGTAACTGAAGATCGCTCACTGGAAGAAAATACTAGAAAAATAAATCTCATAAAAAAACTTAAACATGCAAAAATAAGTTGCTCAATCCTGTTTTCATAAAAACAAATTTACAACAAATTAACTTTCAATGTTACCAAAATACCATACTATGCATTGTAGTACGATATTTTCGTAACATTAAAAGTTAACCAAAGAAGATACCGATACAAAAATATATGCGCTGTTAATGAATTAAATATTCTTTTAGAATGCCCACCATTTTTTCTTAAGTGCATTTTTGAGGCACCATATTGGATGGCTTTTTGGCCACTAACGAAGTTTCCTTTTGCCTGCGCTGTTGTTGTTGCTGTTTCGCTATTGTTGTAATTGTGGGTAATTGTTGTTGCCGTTGTAGTGACTGCCGTTGTTGCTGTTGCTGTTGCTGTATTGGGCGCTACAAATTTCCAAACCCACTAGGCACATTTGAACTGGCGCACGATCGCAGAAAACTGAAAAAAAAAACCGAAAATCCAATGAACGGAGCAGCAATTGTAACATCAACATGAGATGTGCCCTGGCTCCAAAAAGGAGCAACGTGCCCGAAGATGCAGAGAGAGAGATGGCCACAGTCGAGTAGAAAGAGATGGGCTAGGAGGCATAGGGAGTTAGCTTGTGCCCGGGTCTTTTGCTACTTTGACTTGTCGCTCGTTCCAAAACGTCGAATGCGTCTAATTTCTTGGCTTGCTTTTGGCTCTTTTGTGCCTATGTTTTTCGGGTTTATTTCTGTCTTTTGGCCAGGCGAGCGGGACAGGGCAGGGCAGTGGAGGGGCGCGGAGGGGAGTGGAGCTCGCGGTGGATGTCGTGTCTCGGTCTCCGAAAGTCTGGCTCCAAAGCCTTGCGATCCATTCGCCAACGTCTGCTCGGCGGCTGCCGCGTTTGTCGTTTAAATCGTACCACCACAGGCGACATAAAAATAATGAAGTGTGCGGGTGTGGTCGACTTGCTTTTGGCCAGGTCTGGTCTTCAGTCTCCAGTCCACACTCCACTGACTTCGGTCTTCGGTCTCCGGTCTCCGGTCTATGGTCTTGGCTCTTTGCTCCGAGCCGGGTCCTCAGCCTGAGCATGGATCTTGGCCCGATTCGGGGACTGACTGGCCGATCGGGGCGACTGTCGACTGTCGAACGCTGCGACGTTTGCAGATTGCCGAGTCGTGTTTGGCCCGGCGGTGCGGTGTCGGCGGCCCATAACCAAATCAACATTTTGCGGGAGTAAAGGTATCTGGGCGGGCTCCCTTTTTGGGCTGACTATACGGGGCGAAATGGCAGCCTTAGTTGGCCGAAATGAGGCTGAAGAGGAGTATTTTGAATATGGTTTACAAGCGGCTGGGCATTGTTAAAATAAAAAGTGGGATTAATTGAGATGATTTATAAGAAAGGTAGTTAAGATGGTACCCTACACAACAATGGGAGAGAAACGGAATGAAAAACTTCATTTTACGATTTTAGCAAACATCAATAAACTAACTTTTTATCGCAGATTTAAATTGTGCAGTTTTTTAATTGTTTATCAATTAAAACGTAAACTAAAAAACTCATTTTTATGGTATTAATTATTAATAAATAAAGTATACTATTTGCCACCCACCCAATTAGTTCAGCTGCAAATGTTTGTTGGGTAACTCGCCGAACACACGCCCAAGCAACTGCAAAAATATAACGGTATCCAAGGTTGTGCTACGCTTAAAATGTAATTGTTCGACTCAAAGAGCCAGAGCAACAACATCAGCCATCAGCCAACAGCAAAACAACAAACCCAGAAACAACAGCAATGCGATCAAGTTTGCCGCCGTCGCCTTTTGCCGTCTAATCAAATACCAGACCAAGACCCAGCGAAAAGCACCAGCGACCGAGACTCTGAGCTACCCACCCATGGAAGATATAATACCTAGCTGTATTCCATAACCGGGAGATGCATGTGCAGTGAAAACAGCACTCATCACATAGTGCATCTACCAGATTATGTGGTTCCTGCGCAGGAATTGTTTATGTAGAAGATATTAGTAGAAGAGGAATACTTTATAATAAACAAATTTGCATTTCGTACCTATGATTATTGCGTATGATTTGTTAATGGATTACAACATCATCATAATAACAAATCATAATGGATCATAACATGACGTATTAACTTAAACTTTCCAGATTTACTGATTTTACAAAATATACCTAGCAACTTACTCAATCTTTGTTTTAAATACAATGTAAGCCCAATCCCTCACTCCCGTTTACAGACTCCTATCAGGTGATGATTTTTCTCCGTGTCGATCCGTGGCATGCCTGCCTGGGCATGGGCATGGGCAGAGAGACACCAACACATGGTCGGATCCGAAATTCAAATCCCAGCTCAACGTCATCGAAGCGCCGCACTCTGGAGGACTCCGCGATGCAACGCAGCGGGTTTTCGGGGCTGGGGCGAAATTTTCACTTGAATATTCGACACACTTTGAGCCCGGGCACACACAGCTGGAAGTCGGCAAAGGTTTGCAGGATTTGCAGACTCAGACTCAGACGCAGATTCAGATTCAGATTCAGGGAGGGGCGCCACAGCGCGCTTGGCTGTCTCAGCGATTCTTGGGGCTATGCATCATCATCATCATCGGCCGGGCTGGCGTCGAAGTTGGAGCTGCAACATGGCAACATGTTGCAATCTGCCAGCTCTGCATGCATAAAATATTATGCAACATTATGCCGCAGACACAGGCCAGACGACACTCTTGGTTTTATTTATACTTTTTCGGGTTGTGGCCACCCCTCTACCCAAATGTTGTGGCTTATTAGTGCCGGGATGTTGACAGCGTTTAGATCTAATTGAATCGCCCGGATCGCCGATTTCTGGGGCGTCCATAGAACATTTGGCTTGGCCCGCTCCCATTTGGCCCATAACCCATAAATCTAACACACCGGCACGAGAGATTTATAGAGTTCAGATTGCGAAATGCGCAGAAGCACAACGGAGCACAGCGCAGCAAAGAGCTCGGAAAATCTTGAAAAATTAAAATGACTAGTGCCGGGGCACGATCAAGACCGGGCTGCCGTCTTGATAGCAGACAATGGCAACTCCGGAGGAGATGGAAAGCCCAAAAGCGAAACCTCAGCGGTAGTCAGCATTGGGGCGTCTGCAGTTCAACGTTCAAGTGGCACAGTACGCCCTAGAAAAATGAATTGATTCGATTGTTTTTCGCCGCAACTCGGGCTCCTCTACTTTATCTGCCAGTGCCGAGCGGAAAAATCTGAAAATGGAGAATAAAAAAATAAAAATCAGATGCAGAGGCAGGCCAGGGGCAGGGGCAGGGGCAGGGAGCGCGCCCCGAAAAATACTGATGATACAATCGCGTTTTTGACTTTGAAAAGTCAGCTTCGAGTCAGCCGGGCTATTGTTCAATGGCCCAACTGCAGCAGCAGCAGCAACATTCAGCAGCAGCAGCAGCAGCGGCCGACACTGATTGTTATGGTTTATGAGATGAAAATGCACTCGAAACAATATTCTGGGGCCAATGCAATTTGCGATTTTTAATCAACTCCTCTCGTCAGCACTCAGCAGCAGAAGAAAACATCGTATTTGGCCCCTGATTGCAGCTTCCACTTCGAGAATCGTGGCTCCTTCATCTGGCTTTTGATCTTCTCCCCGTCCCCGAGATCGTTCCCGTGGCTCCTCGCCCGCATCCACTCGACCATCATCTGCAGACCAGTCTCGGTGCCCTCCAGTTCGCCGCCCACTTTGCGGCCACAGTGCGTATGCGCGATGTAGCCACACACCTTCAGCTCTGCGGCTTTGTGGGCCACAACTGAAAGCAGGGCCTCGTCGGAATCTTCGGGCACACTCATTTCATACGCTAGAAGGTAGATCTGCGGCTCAGATCGGGGCACCAGTTCCAGCGACATATTTGGGATTCGAAATTAGAGTGTAGAGCATATGGCTGTTGGAAATAACTGATCCAGATTTCCTGAGTTACTGATCGTATTTTCAAGCATTTTGAGTGGAATATATTTTATTCCAGTTTTATTTTTAGTTTTATTTTTAAGCTTTAAAATGCTATATATTTACTTATTTTTGTAAAAAGAATTTTTATGATCAATAAAAACTTAAAAAAAAATAATAATATATATCTAATATAATAATATATAGTAATCATGCTTTGCGTAAGTCATCAGTCTTAAACAATTTAAGGAAAAAACAAACCTAGACGCCAGCACAAGCCAAAACTAAAACACTAAGTTAGTTATTTGCACATATTGCAGCAACACTAAAAAAGAGATGACATGTAAGGTTGCCGATGATAGGATGTTCAGTGAGGATATTCAGCTGAGGACCGAGTTTAGGTTGTACAATATAATGCCGGGGAACCAATTTCGGAGTCGAATTCTCCATTATTGCCACTCAAAGCATATAACCGGATATATGATACTCACCCACGACGGTCGTCGAGCATTTGGAGTTATGGATGGCAAGCGGAAAGATTTAAACCGGATGAAGCACTGCCTCCTGAGTTTCTTCATTCCAGAACCATTTTCCCAACGAGTCAGTTTCTCGGCCTACGAGATATGCGTCAATCCGAGCAAAGAGGACTTTAATATTAAGTATAGCGTGCCTAAAGACGCCACATTCCTGGGAGATCTGCAGGAGGACTGCTTCCTGAGGTCCAAGGATGAAAAAAAGGAACCGCCAGAGGAAACCGAGGAATCTAGAGCCGTGCTCGCTGAATATGCCGACTTCTATAACGCAGAATATTTCGACAATTGTGCTTCGACGGTGGATACCGAAAGCTATGGCTATGTAAGCTCACTGGCCGATTCTGTTTCGTCGCAGTGATTTCTCGCAGTGTAGATGCAACTCGTGCTGGCCATTGTTCAACACTATTTGCGGCACTCAATCTCTTAATTAAATATGCGACTAACTGGCAGCTTGGAGGCACTCGAAGAGTGGCCCAGACATAGCCGTTTAGTGTCGAAATTGTGCAAGTTTTGATTTTCCTTTTGTTGTTATGGAAGCCAGGTTTTGTTTTTGTTATTTTTTTTTTGGTTTGGTTTTCTTGTTCGCTGGATAATCACAGGCCCAGCGAACAGACGGCAGAAATTAAATCAGCCAAGGTTATCGCATTAATAAGCCCCCTGGTTTGGATTTTACAGTTTTCTGAGCCAGTCAATTATTAAATTTGCAATTTCCGTAGCTGAACTTTTGGGGTCAGTAGACTGATTTAAATCAAAACCGTAATTGAGCATTGCCCGCGAGCAAGAACAAATCGCACCAAAAACCAAATACCAACCTCCGGGCAGGAAAATTGACAAATGCTTGATCGCTACCTCTTGGATTTCTTGTTTCACGTGCATATGTATTTCTTTTATAGCGGATGTGGGAAGGCTGCGAATCCGATTCAGAAAATGTACAGAAAAAAAATCGAAAACTCCCAGCTAAGTGGCTTTCCATGACATTTTACTGACACTCTTGCCGTTGAACTGGAAGACCTGTTTTCGTTTTCCCTCTTAGCGCAACTTAACACATTTGACGAAGATGTCTATGCCAGCAAATGACGTGTCATCAATGGAGCCCGCACTCCCACATAAAGATGCACAGCGTCCTCAACTCGATCTCGGATCTCGAATCTCGTATCTCGAACCCCTGCCACAAATCCGCGGCACTTGAAGCTTGAAGAGATCTGTTGGTGCTGTTGTATTAATAAGCCTGACATTTGAGCAGAGCATCCACTCGAAGCCATCGAGTTTCGGTTTTGCGTGTAGGCGTCTGAAAATAATAATTAAAAAATCGTTTCTAATGCGGAAATCTCGCGTTTTCGGGCTGGGGGTGAGCTTAATGCCGAAGATGTTAGACAAATATATCAGATTTCTGTTTCTTTTTTTGTCGCGCTCTTTGCTTTGGTTAATCTTCAGCGGACGGTTGAGGGGGGTCGGCAAATGGTGACATGGGTACAGATGGATCGTTGGGAAAGCAATTGAACAGTGGATCGTCAGAGGTGAGTCGTCGAATCGTATGGGACCCCGAGATGTCATAAGTGTAAATACAAATTTCAGCTTCCAAAATGATTCAAATTTTTAAGCTACTGAGAAAAATGTTCAAATACGTCCAACAAGCAAGATTCACTGCATCTTGACAATAAATTGGTTTTGAAAATAATCTATAAAATTCATAAATTACACGGTAATTAAAAGCACATAAAGTATTTATTGGTTAACCAAAGGTGGTTTGTAGAAGGTGTTTCATTACAATAGATCTATAGAATCGAACACTTAACTGCCAGTTAATCGTCAACAATTAAACAAGTTATTACGACGAGAGATGGACGAATCGACAGCGGATATTAAGGCCAATAGGTTGGTCATTGGGCTGGGCTGTGGCCAAAAGCATTAGGCCAAGTGTCCCGGCCCGCCCAAGAATTCAAAGGCCTGGCCCCCAAATAATTAAATATGTAAGAGGCAAGCGCCCAAGTTAATAACAGCTGCTACCACAGAAGCCTTTTGCCGGCCAAACGCTGAAAATTTAATAATCGCCTGCGAGTACAAAGCGGCCAGTTGCATTCGGAGGCTCAGAAACACAGATACGTACACAGACACAATCGCAGGCCCATGCCCAGGTCGAGATACAATATACAATATACTAAAATATGTACTGGTGCAATATACTCGAAGGCAGGCTCTGCGAGAAGGTCAGACCTCGCACGTTTCATGGCTCATAGCGCTCCTATCGTATAATTAGAAACGAACGACGACAACACGACGACAAACAACGACCGCAGTTCGCCCCTGTATCCGTATCTATGACTCCGAATGTATCTGTATCTGGGAAGCAGGGGAAGGTCTCTGGATACGCAGCAAGCGATTCTCAAATGAGCCAATTGTAGAGTGCCCGACGACGTCAGTGTGTGTATGCCCACCGTTTCTATGTACATAAAGAGTGCCACAGTTCTGCAGAAACAGATAGCTCGTGTTGAATAAGAAGAATAGAATAATACGTGATAGGAGTGGGTCGCCACAGAAAAGTTGATCTATTTATGGAATCAAAAAAAATAATAATATATGACGTAAAATAGTTCTCAGATGTCTAGGGGGATACTTTAAATTTCGTCTTTACAATTTCTGATATGTAAGGGATGTCGAAGGAAATTCCATGCATTCGAGATCTATTAAAACTTAGTATTTTAGTACTGTCCTGACCTGTTTAAAAAATATTTCAAAATATTTAAAGCCGAATTAAGGCGCTAAAACAATGTCTAACCAAAACTGCATTAGGAGATTCTCTTAAACTTTCCATTAAAGTTAAAAGTGCTGGGTGCCGTAAAGATAGCCATGTTCGTTACGGCTCGTCTCTTTGCCGCCATTCCACATTCCTGGCAGATAGCCACCCAACTGAATCTTTTCTGCTGGGGCACACTCTTCGCTTTTACAACCCAGTGGTGCACAGTGGAACCGCCATGGTGGCCAGCAGCGCATATAGAGGAAGTCGGTTTCATGCACGGAAAAATAATACTATCAATTTCATTTACCACTTGGTAGTAGGGGGTAGTGTGTTTAAAATGGGTTTTACTTACTGAAATTCGGTGCAGCTGCGTGCAAGGAACTTTTTATTACATTGTTACATGAAAGTATTATGTAATACTTTACATTTTCCTTTCATTGAATATTGATATATTAATATAATCGCTGTCACTATTTCGGTAACACATTGATGATGATTATTGGCAATCATTTTAAAACAAAGAAAAGCTGTATCTTTTAAATGACTTTTAGAACACCATTAGTTTCAATTACGATTTCATCGTTGATTCGCATTTTTTAATTCAATGAAACTACGTTATAAAAGTGATGGAAACAGCAATACTTTTGCCCATGTGTACGACTCCGATGTGCCATGCGATGGTCGTCGGCCGGTCGACCGGCCATGCAAAGTCTCTCGGAAACAGTGGATGGGATCGGATCGTATCGGATCGGATCGGATCGGACGGGGGGCAGTACGTGATGTGGCGAGTGCGGGTATAGTGTGTATGGCATATGGGGGATCGGATCGGGGCACTACGAGCGCTCTGATACGTCGACAGCATTGCCGGGGAGCGCTTCGTTATATGCTCACTTTCGATGTGTTTCATTTTTTCTTTCGTTTTCATTCGCTGTGCGATTTGGAAACGTTTAAACAAAAACTCGCCAGCGGCGGCAGCAAAAACAACAACAACACCAGCGGTCCATAGGCGGGCGGGTCTTCCACACACACAGATACACCGCACACACGCATACACCGGCACACCTGCACGCCTGAAACAAGCAAACGAAAAATAAATGTTTACGATCGCTCCATGTTGTTGTTTTTCTCCAGTTGCGGCCAATTATGTGCAGCAGCTGCCGTTAAAGGGTTAAGGGGGCGAAGAGGGGAGAGCGGTGGGGCGCTGGGGTGTTAAAGCTCTCCTAAACACTCTTAAAAATTGTTGCTTTTGGTTGGAGCATATAGCAGCTATAGTTTCGCGTTTATTATTTTACCTCTTTATTTATTTTTTCGTTTTTTGTCGCAGCTCGCATAAATTTATCAAACTGTTTATTCGGCTTAACTGTTGTTGTCTCGTTTAGTTAAAAGGTATAAGCCATAAACTAAACGTTTATTCAGTCATTTAACAGCGGCACTTTGCATGTGTATTTGCGTATGGATAATTATTTTATATGAACATTTTAATTATCTCCATGGCATCGTGCCTGACTTATGGGAATCGACCGGCCTTATGCTAATTTTCTTTATGTATATGGCTTCCAATCGGAGAAATCTATGTTGGTATTTATGTACCTGGCCAGGTGAAGTTAATCAGGAAATTCTTCACTCCATAGAACATGATTTGTGTTGACAAGGTTCCGAACGTGGCGATCATCGGTGGGGAATAGAGCTTCGATGGGAGAAAAACGCAGTAATTAAATACTACATAACTCAAGGGGTGATCGGATTGAGGTATTTATTCAAGGTGTGGTGCACTCGTTTTCACATACAACATATCTTAAATTCAATCGTGCCAATAACATGAAATACTACCCGAGAACTTACTTATTTCAGATTCTAAGTCATTAATAAATACGATATCTTTCTAACATGCTCTTTCAATCTAATTTTTCTACAATCAAGCCCAATCAAAGCCCAAAGTTCCGGCATTTCGCCGTCAATCTCCTTCGCATTCCACCACCCAATTGCAATCACTCCACAAAGGATGCCCCAATCATGCAACTGAATTCCATCGCTGACCCACATTCCTCCGACCCGCTAATTAATAAAAGATAATCTTCAATTGAACTCATTTGCGGCACACCGGCCATCATAACAATCCTGTGAGCCACAGAGGCCCAAAATACAAGCCAGCCGACTTCATATTATCAAACCATCAATCAGGCGAAGACAACAAGGCGCTTCCTTGCCCAGAAAAGCAAAATGAGAGAAGGAAAATGCTGTGCGGGCATCGTGGAAAGCGGGAGCGGGTGGAAAAAGAAAAGGCCATTAAGGAAAAATAGAAAAATAGTTGTGAACTCATTGACTCAAATAAATAACCAACGACCATGGCACGCGGCCGACGCTGAGACCGATGCGGAGGAGAGTGGGTATCTCGGCCTTCGCAGCTTCCTCTTGGCGGGATGAAGATGATGGCAGATCATCAGCTAGAATAACAAGAGGAGAACAGCTACAATAACAGCTCAAGACGCTGCGGAACCTGGAGATTTGCAAATATCTGAGCCATAAAGCTGCCAAGTGTTGGCCTGGCCGATCATCAGCATGATGGCAGTGGAGAAATGGACAGTGCGGACTGCGGACCGCGGACCGCGGACCGCGTACTGCGGACAAACGACCTGATGTGCATGGGGTGCGCTGTACCTGTAACGGTAAAATTTCTACAAGGGAATGTGCTTTCATTTTGAAGTGTTGTATGTCCATGCTCTTGGACTTGGACTTGCGCCAAAAAATCAAAGCAGCCAAGCTACTGTTAGACAGCCACAGCGGCAGCAGCAACATCAGCAACATCAGCAACTTGCAACAGCAACTGCAACTAGCAACGGCAGCTGGCAGTTAGGCAGTTAGTCACTTCACAAAGTCATTTTTGATTTGATCGATTTCGTGCAACAGCATCCAGGCACCGCAGCAACATCAAGAGTTGCAGTTGCTGCTGCTGCTGCTGCAATTGCAGTTGCAATTGCTGCTGCCGTTGCAGCTGTGTGAAGTGGCCAAGAAGAAGGCACATGACATGGTCTTGAACATGGACATGGACATTGAAAATGCCCGATTCCAGTCTCGTGCCAAGTAGGACACACAAGTTAAGACTAGAGACCCTTCTCTGACCGTATGTTAATCTGCGATCAGTGAAAGAACCCGTTGAACTTTCCCATTCCCCTAAAGAGTGTGCACACAGAGAAATGTTGGCATATTTCCTGACGAGGAGAAGGAAATCAACCACAAAGGTTTAAACTGACTTTGGATTTCAATACATTTGGAACTATCAATTTTGTTTGGAGTTCCAAGGCTCATTTTTGTCAGGAATATATTATAATAATTTAGAATTTAGTTTCAAGTATGCTCATCCTTGCAACTACCTAAATTAATTATAAACTGATGAAATCTTTAACGCATAGGACTTATAAAAGATTTTAATTGTAATAACTATAATCCCAAGGCGCATCTTCAAATGTTTAAGAAAGATACGTAAAAATGAATTTAAGAGATATATTTCCGTGTATCTGAAGACTATAATTCGCCTCATTAAACACAGAAGTAATCTATTTTTCTTTCGGTGCACCTCTCCCTTCCCAAGTTACTAGAATGTTGTCCGCTTGTGGCCCGCTCGAGCTTCCAGCGGCGACTGCTTCACGCTCACTTTTCAGATACAGTATCTCGGAGTTTGTGGAACCCAAGTGGAGCGCCCACGAGATCGGCTTGGGTTCGGGTTCGGGTTCGGGTCTGGAGCTCGGCTCTCTGTTCGTCGCTGGGGCGGAAGATCTCCACCCAGTTTTTGGATGCAGGTCTAGCGCTTTTGGAATTTTCATTGAGTAAAACCAGGCAGGATGCATCGCGCGGATCGCTCGGCTGGCGGCCCCTCATTTACCGTTCGAAACTCGTCTAGGCCAGAGCATCTTTGTATGTGTCTGTGTATCTGTGTGAGCACGTTCGCTGGATCGCTCTACATTAAGAAAGAAGTGTATTAGCTTCGATTTATTGCATCGTTGCCTAGGCCTCTGCCTCGGTCGCTGTTTCTGCCTCTGCCGACGTCGCTGGTGCAGTTGACGTCGCTGTCGACTTTGTGGATTGTGAGTCTCGTGTGGAATCATCACTGGGGATCGGGGATCGGTCTTTTATCGTTGTGTATTCATTCAGAGCACCCATACACTCGCCGAAGACGTCGTCTATTTTGCGTTTTTTTCCTTCTGTTATGTTTCTGAGCTGTGCTGCTGCTCTTTTCTTAGCTTTTCGTTATTAGGAAATCGAAAACTGAAGCTGCGACTGCGACTGGGTCTATCATCAGTCCGTGAGACGGTCTCAAAGCTATTGGTCGTGTTGTCGCTTTTGTCGGAAAAACAGCAGCACGTAACGCTGAGCAGAAGAGATCCACTACGTAAAGCGGTCGAGACGTAACGCCATGCGATCGGTGATAACGGTGAAACATTCAAAATGAAGCGTTACCGTTTACAGTGAAGTGAAGATAGGATCGCTAAGGATACATCCTAAATTTAAAATATATATTATGTGTAAATTAAATGTATAAATGCAAATTCCTAACTGTGTCACTTTCATCCTAGACAAAAACAAAAAGAAACTATCTCCAAACTTGAATCTTCCTATAGACAATAAATCTTTACAACTTTGCTGTAAATCTCGAATAAAACATACCGTTTATGCTCTCACAAATCAAATCACAAATTTCTAAGGAATTTCATGAACTACGCCCAGTAGATGATATGATATTAAAACACTTACATACAGAGATGCATATCTATGGCCTATATATACCAGAGATCGGTGCTAAATCAATGATAACTACTCGCTTAGATCCAATTAATGCAAATTGTGACAGCGCGTAGATGCAAAGTGATCCAAGCCAAGCTGCACGGAAATCAACAACAAATGCCACCGAGACATGTGTACAGGCTGATGATTATGGGCAGACATTAAACAGACAATCCATAATGAAATTATAAAATTGAAAAGATTATAGCCCGGGCTGAGCGATCGTCGAGAGGAAACTAAAACGACTGGGAAGTGCGGAGAGATTGGATCGAAGCGGCTTGGCCGGGGATCGATGTCAACTCCGGGGAGAACAGCTCGCCAATTAAAACGAATTAAATGTAGAAATATAATGAAAAGTAATTCTAAGCAACTTGAATCATAAATCAGACCAAGCTGTACAGCGCGAGTGATTGTAAAAAGTGTAAAAAGATCAGTAAAATATACCTATATCTCAAAGTGGCAACTTCCCTCGTATATACGTACAACTAAAGCTCCTAATTACCATAAATCTAAAAGAGTTAAATACAATAATTTATTTAATACATTCAATCAACATCTTTAATCGTTGACTACATTTTATTGATAATAATATTGATATTGTCAGCTAGGCAATATTTATAAGGAATTGTACAAAGATATTTTCTGCAATCAAATCGTTGATAAAACTTCAAGCCCGCAATCCTAAAAGCATTCCTTTATGAACTAAAATCCATCTGAAAAAAACTAAATACTAAACTGAAATTCCCACGCGCCATCGGATATCAAAGCTGGATATATGCAGTATATCTTATATCTTATATCTTGGCCCGATCACAGGATGACTTACGATCTACAACAACAACAAAAACCAGCTGAAGCAACAACAATAACCACAAGAAGATCGAATTTGTATAGCAGCCAATGCCAGACGAGTTATCAACATCCGTAAGGCCGAGAGGGAAAAATACGCTGCAATAGCCAAACGGTGCTCAAATGGTGATTTCTTCCTGCCAGCGGCCAACGGATATCCGTGCGGATTTTATACCAACAACGACCACCGCAGCCACGACAACCAGTTGTGCAATTAGAGCAAAAGCTGCTTACTAAACTAGAAGAGGCTGGCAAATTGATGCTACCAAAGCGATCAGAAGTATCAGACATGTAAGTGTAAGATATAGTGTAAGTGTATAGTGTAAGATGAAGAGGTCGAATGAAATTTTAATACAAAAAATAGAAACTAATATTCCAGCGTAGCATTAATACATTTTTCAAACGGTCTTGTATGATTAATAAAAAATGGGTTTCATTTGAATTTTGTTAGCCTATGAACAATATATAAATATCTCAAAATATCCCAATTGAACATATTACTATAAAATCCAAAACCTTCCCACCATTACGCTTAGTAAATGAATTTTTAAACTCTAATGAACCACTACGTCTTAATTTAATTGATTACAATAAGCACCATCACAGGATCAACAAATATTAGACTTAATGTCAACTGAGAAACATTTACCACCAACAAAAAGTTGATAGATGAATTTTAGTTTTTGTATCTTTCTGCCTCGATCCGCAGACACGTATTCGAAAGATTCAAGGCTTCCACCGCTCGAAACTGTATTTTTCTTGTATTGTAATTGATGAATGAATGAAATTGAAGTTCGAGTAATGACGCAGCGATTTCGTGGGGCGGCATTAAGATTTAGCCAGGCCAAAAAGACGAGGCGAGCGAAATAGAGTTGTCCGCACACAGACACAGACACACTTTTTAATTTGGCAATCAAAAGAAAACATAAATTATATAATTTTTCCCTCTTGGCTACGCCTAGATTCACGCACTATTGGCCCACCGAGCGAGCATGGAATTTATTTTCTATAAATTCGAAATTCGATTGTTTCTTAAGCCAAAGAAGAGTGTTGTGCTTTATTTTCGAAAGTGATTAATAGGTTTGACATGTTACTTTTACGCTAATTGAGCGATCAAAATCGAATCGAAATGGTGAAGGGCGAAAGGGTAGCAGCGGCGATAATGATAATCCCCGAACGGAATAAAAGTGTCCAAAGAGCGTTTATGCGTTAAATGCACGGAAATCGGCCGCATGTATCCGCCAGATGCAGATACATTGAATCCGTAGGCATTGGGGCGATTAGTAGCGCCTTTCGATTTTTTTCGCCCCGCGTTTTGGAGTGAATGTTTTGGGCGCGTCCAGTGCAGAGGAGGAGTAACGAGGGGTGGGGGCAAATTAAGCAGGTTAATTTAATTTTAAATAGAAGTCGATGGTCGGTCGGTCGGATACAGATTTTTTTTCCTTATATTTTTTGGAGTGCGGTGGCAGATGGGCGTAAAAGAAGCGCCCGAAACAGAAACAACAGATCATTAATTAAACGTTTGGAGGTTAGTGAGTGGCCAAAAAGCCAGACAGGTTGATAGAAGCCAGTCCCTGTTCCAGAGCCCCAGTAATGAAATAAACTATTAGACCATTAGATCATTAGGCGAGGAACACGCAGTAAAGCGAAGAAGTGACGAATCGATGGTCCGCGGACAGTTCAATGAAGTTCTCACAAGGCGAGTTCCAATTTAGAATGTGTGATGAGATTCATATTCACCTACTTCCTATAGCTAATATTCTATAGCGTTTTGAATAAGACGTTCAGGGGACTTAAAATAGTATGATTCACTTAAGACATTCAATTAGAAACACTTTAGGTTATTACATTATGTATACAAAATTTTGGAACTATGTGGCTTGTATTATTATTTCTGAAAGCCCATCGCCTGGCCAAGAGATGGCAACAAAATTGAGATAAACCGAGCATTGTTAGAGACCGTGAAAAACTTTCCAACAAATTCACACACAGCCCGCTTCACTGAGGTGGCGAAAAGAAATTATGACACTTGATCGTTCGGGGGCAGTGAAAAATTTGTTTACGGCATTAAAATGCCAATTAAAGAGCGAGTTGGCCCGAAAGGAAGTAAATCGAGTGAAATGAAATGTTTCAGAGATAATCTGCGAAATGATGGCCATGACGCTATATATAGAAAATCGGGTCCCCGTCCGAACGGGCACTACAAAGCTCCCACCGCCAATTGCAGTGGGAATCGCAGGGGAGGAGGAGCTGCTTGCCCACTGGCAACAGAGCGTAATCCAAGGTAGTTAATTGCGCCTTAAACCGGAAGCGATGGCTTTGATTGCGTTACACATTTTGCTGGCTGCGAACGGAATGCGCGCTGATTTTAGCTGCCCTCTCTTTCTGGCCAAGTCAGGCCCTCTCTCTCGCTCCATCTATATCTACGTGTATTTTTCAATTTAAACTCTATTTTCGTTGGCTTTTCGATGACGACGGTAGTGGTGACGGTGACTTCGATAACCGCAGAGCGGCGGAATCTGAAAAGCAAATCACTCTAGGCAATACAAAGTCTTGGCTCGGAATACACTTAATCCACATTCAAATCGGGGGAAAAGCGGCGGGGACAATGAAAGTTTGTCGAGCTGCTTTACTGCTGCCCGAAATACGCAAATCGATTAAATGAAAAGCCTAGGAAAATCGGGCAAAAGGAGCAACCGAGCTGGAATCACACTAAACAAAAATAGTTGCTCCAAAATGTTGTTATTCAATTGTAGGAACCAAACGTAGTTTTCCAAATAATAAATATATTATTAACACATTAACTGATTATACTAGACAATTTATGCCAAATGAATGGGTAGTAAGCATGTGCCTTTTTCCAACTTATCTAGAACATACATTTCTTTCTGTGCAGCAATAGACTTGCACCAAATCCAAGACCGTAGACAACTCAATAACAGAGTTTTACATAGATGCCTCGCCCTGACTTATGTAAGGCGCAATTTGCAATGCAACAATTTGCAATGCGGCCCAGGAGATGAGTTGTATTTTAATTGGAGCGACAGTCAGCCAAAGCTTAAATGGATCGCCTCGGCAAAAATAAAAACAAACACAAGCGCCGAATGCTAAATAGCTCCAGATATGCTATTAGTACTTATAATATATGCACACGGAGAGATAGTGAACTATCGAGTTTGGTCTGGTCTAAAAGGCAGCTGGCGGGAACAGAGAAAGGTCGAGAAAATGATTACCTCGAGCAAAGTTTAGAAAAAACTCATAAAATTGTTCATGACTACGATGGAAATATCAACATAAAGTATACATATACTTTTTATACATTTAAAGCACATTCACCAGCAATTAAGTTCTAAGAATCCCAATGCATCTAATCCAATCATTTTAGGCTTCAGAAAATGTAACTGGCATAAACTGTTTATCAAGACAACTGTTTGACAAGACCCCTAATTTAACTAAGACCTTATGAATAGGTTACTGTCTTAACGTCCAACCAACCCTTATTCCCCACAAAACAGTCCCAAATTAAATTCAGCAGCAAATACCTATTTCTTGATCACCACTTCCATTCTCCACGCGACTCCTATTATTACGCGACCCCTACCACAAATCTCACCAGCAAAAGCACAAGAGCCACCGATGAGATCAGATCATCAATTTAAATCACATTCTAAATGTGTTCGAGATCAATCACAATGCCCTGACCACACCTTTCGATGGAGCCCAGTTGCCAATCATCGATCCCGTCGAGAAACCATCTCATCTGGCTTCTGCAACTCCGCGGCGCCAATTCTCTGCTCTATACCATGTTTATAGCCAAGTATTCGAGTAGGTACAGGTACAGAGCGTTTTGTCGAGATCAAGCCTTAACAGCACAGAAAATCTACTTAAACAGCTTAATGATTACCCCACCCATTTGCAGCCACAGCAACGCATATTTTGAAAGCAAAAGTAAAGTGTTTTGAAAGTAAACTACACTAATTTAAAGCTGTAAATTAACCAACTGAACAACATAGCGCTTCCAAAGATAACCTTGAATGCAATGAGAGCTTTAATTAATTGTGAGTGAGTGTGTGTGTGCTGGTAATAAAAAAGGTGTAAAAGGTGGTAGAGATTTCTGAAGCCAATTCTGATGCCAAGAAATAGGTAGAAAATCGAAATGTTTTCATAGAAATGTAACATTTTAATGGGGCCAATTTTCATGCCCCTCAGATCAGTGTCGAGAAATTCCAGCCTAAGGGCAAAAGTGCATTATTTGCGGCGAAGCGTAACTTGTACTTGAAAATGAGTTGACCAAAAGCCGAAAAGAGCAACAAAAATGTGCTTCAAACAGATATAACAACAATTTTGGAGACGTTGTTTGGCTGCTGATGATGAGTAAACACAACCGGAGCGTCGCGTTGATTACAATAGGAAATAATCCCACAAATTGCTTTAATATTCACTGCAAATCAAATGAACCACCCCGCCACCATCGAGAAAAATAGGAAAAAAAACACATCTCGAAAATCCCAGACAAAAGTCACCAAGTTTTGTGTCTCTCTGCCTTCTTTCTTGGCTCTTTTCTTGCTTTTCAGCCACATTTTCAAAGCATTTAACCTTGGACCATAAAACTCAGCAGACAAAGGCAGCAGCAATAACAACAGCAACAACAATAATAACAACAACTGCACATAATATGTAATCACATCGCATTGAATCTTTAATTCCCTCCCCCCGCCCATCGCATGTGTGTGAAAATTCGCATTTTTCAAGACGACAAAAAGAGCAGAAAAAATGGCAAAAAAAAATTATAAAACGTATATCTCGGCCTCTGATAATTGTATCGCATTTAGCTTTTGGCATATTGTTTAGCAGACGATGATATATGGGAACCCATTCCGCACAGACAGCAGGTGTACTATATGGATATGGCCGGCTCCTAACTTCTCGACTTTGTGAATTTTGCCTTTGATGACGGCGACTTACGCTCTAGATATTGGCATAGGAGGCATGGAAGATGTGGTTCCATTGTCGGATCCTAAGTGGGCTAGTTTGTGGGCAATTTCGGAAGAATTCGCGTGGTTTGGTTTCAGTTTTTTGTTTCTTTCGGAGTGTGGCACGAACTGAATTGTGGGTTGACATGAAAGTGCCTCGTTTGCGGTCATAAGTTGGTGGTGGTTCCAACATGTGCCAAAGGGAGTTTTTGGCAGATGATGAGTTGGCGGAATGAATTAAGGCCTGATTTGCCAGCTCGCCCTTGGCTATAGCTTGAGCAAATTTTAAACGATTCGTTGGTGGTTTACTGGAGATAT